TTAGTCAAAGCTAGTGTTTATTAAGATGTTGGTTTTGGAGAAATTTTTCAAGGTTTGTTGTTCTTTGGAAAATGAGCCTCATATTAAATTGCACACTGGTTTGCAGGAGATGAAAGCTTCAGGACATTTTCATGTGTGTTTTGCTAAACATTTGTTATCACTTTTACCAAATTTTGAAACAACTTTACTATAATGTTTATGACACTAGTAAGTATCTCAGAATAGGAAATAGATCAAAATTAGTGTTATTTCCTCTAGGGATATGGCCCCAGATCTAATAAAACAAAGATTATCATTGTTCAAGAAGCAATAATGTCAATATATAACTGTATCCACAGAAAGCTTTGAACTTAGGATAAATTCTTTGCACCTTATTTATACTAGTTGAACTACCTGAGGGAAGTTGATCTGTATCATAAATTGTAAGTGCGAAATGTAACAACCATAAATTGTAACTATGAAATGTGACTAACAAATTGCCTGCCTTTAAATTTGATGCTATGACTTTCTCTGCTTTTAAATGACAATGTAATCAATATATGTTTTTTGAAATAAAACTCATTCCGAGTATGTACTTACAATGTTTACTAATGCCAACTTGTTCTCGTCACTATATGGCTGGAATAATGCCGATGTGACGCAAAGCCCAACTCAACTCAACTCAACTGAAAAAACCCCAATATATTTGTATTTTGTGTAACATTCTATTTCAATGTTATTTAATTGTTCGGATAACTGTGGATCCACTGTTCAAAGATTTTGCATCACGTTTCCTATTTCTGGAAGATGGGTCAGCTAGTGTACAGGTGCAGACTGTATCTTGGATCTTCTTTGTGTTCTGGTGCTGTGACATACCTGTACATAAACGCTGGCAGTTCATGAAGTCCAGTATTGTGGAAGTTTGTATGTAAATTAGGATTCCACAACAAAGTACATACAGAAAATAAAATGGAAAGGATTATTAAAAGAATGGGTGTCCTTATATTCAGTGTCATTTTATGATGGTGTACAGATTTTGAAGAAGGAATTGCTGCAGATCAGCTGCTTCTGGGTATGTCCAGATACATCTATGGAAATATACTGTTTACAAGCCCAATCACCTTTTCCAGATTTCCAAATAAGATCAAATAGGTTATGCTGTGATTGATTTGTTTACATTAATTATATTTCTAAGATGCCTTGACAGATGTAATTAAAATAATTCAGAAGATATTTAATCCGAACGTAAACCGTCATCAAACTGTTATCATTTGTTTTTCTGGTAACGTTCGTCTTAACGTAGGGGGCAGACACACATCAATAGAACAGCGCGCCAGTTAGCCCTGTGCGAGGATTCTTAATTTAGGTCACCGACACCGTCGTTTGTTTTCTGCCTTAAATTAATCGTAATTATCTTTTGAAAGTATTAAATTTGGCATCTTAGAAAAGAAATATTTAGCTCTACCACCATGTATAGTGTAATAAAACACACTTTCGCCCTGAACTATTATAACGTTAAAAGCACTCGGACGCAAGCGTCCGAGCTTATAACTATAATAGTTCAGGCAAAAGTGTGTTTTATTACACTATACATGGTGGTAGAGCGAAGTGTATTTCTTAAACAGACAAATAAGGTGCACGAAGTAGTAGACGGGAAATATTTTCTGCTTTTTATTCATTAAAAGATAGAAACCCATGTTTTCAGATTACTGATTTAACTAAATTTGAACAACGCCAACGGATAACTAAGAAAAGGCACCACGCGCAGCGTTGACAATCTATTTACAGACCTAATCCGAAACGATCTGCAACATGAACGTGTGGTTGTGTTCACGATTTTTATGAAATTATTTTGGGAATTTTTGAGAAAAAATGTCAATTGTTCGCCGGAGTGAGGGAGTGAGTTTAGTTTTACGCCGCACTCAGCAATATTACAGCTATATGGTGGCGGTCTGTAAATAATCATGTCTGGACCAGACAATCCAGTGATCAACAGCATGAGCATCGATCTGCGCATTGGGGACCGATGACATGTGTCAACCAAGTCAGCGAGCCTGACCACCCTATCCCGTTAGTCGCTTCTCACGACAAGCATGGGTTACTGAAGGCTCATTCTAACCCGGACCTTCACTGGTTCGCCGGAAATAAAACCGGGAACTTAACGTACAAGTCAAAATAAGGAATTTAATCGGACATCATTTCTGTCATCGATGCATCAAATTTTTAAAATCTTAAAGTCAAAATCTTATTGAGGCATTGAATGTTGTAGCATGACTCGTATGTCGCTCTTTGAAATAAAGGTTCAGATGCTACTATTGTCGAGCTTGATAGTAATGGTATGGTTGATACCAAAGGACTGATTTTTATGAGCATATGGTCATTCATAAACGGCATGCAGGGAAAGAGGAGTGAGTGAGTATGGTTTTACGCCGCTTTTAGCAATATTCCAGCAATATTTCAACGGGGGACACCAGAAATGGGCTTCACATTGTACCCATGTGGGGAATCTAACCCGGGTCTTGCAGGGAAAGAAAGACTTCAGTTACAAAATTGGTTTATTCTAAAGGTGTAAGATGATATCTAATGTTCTTGTGACTTGTGCCTGTATCCAGAGAAAGAAACTTGATAATGTAGCTTGATCTTTGTGGTAAAGTCGCCTAGAGCAGGCAGGTATCTGTACAGTTGCATCCAGTAGGAGGGGCGGTGGGGTGGCCTTGTGGTTAAAACGTCCGCTCGTCACGCCGAAGACCCGGGTTCGATTACCCACATGCGTACAATGTGTGAAGCCCATTTCTGGTGTCCCCCGCCGTGATATTGCTGGAATATTGCTAAAAGCGGCGTAAAACCATGCTCACTCACTGCGCATCCAGTGGGATTGCCAAGAAGGTCTGAAAGTGGGTTAAAAATCCCGGTTCAGTGTGTTTATGCTTTGGGTTATTTTCTGTAAACTGCTAGTGCGGGAAGTTTCGGCAAAAATTCCAAAGTCCCAATTGTCCTACGAGTGAGTGAGTGAGTTTAGTTTACGCCGCGTTCAGTAATATTCCAGCTATATGGCGGCGGTCTATAAATAATCGAGTCTGGACCAGACAATCCAGTGATCAACAGCATGAGCATCGATCTGCGCAATTGGGAACCGATGACAGGTGTCAACCAAGCCAGCGAGCCTGACCATCCGATCCCGTTAGTCGCCTCTTACGACAAGCATGTGTTACTGAAGGTACATTCTAACCCTCATCTTCCCTCGAAAATGACGCTGAGAGACTGTGACAACTCATAGTCATACTCCAGGTGGCATTAATCACAACTCACTCACTCTGTATGAAGGGCGGTGGGGTAGCCGAGTGGTTAAAGCGTCCGCTCGTCACGCCGAAGATCTCGGGTTCGATTCCCCACATGGGTACAATGTGTGAAGCCCATTTCTGGTGTCCCCCACCGTGATATTGCTGGAATATTGCTAAAAGCGGCGTAAAACTATGCTCGCTCACTGCCCATCCAGTGGGATTGCCAGGAAGGTCTGAAATGGGGGTTCAAATCCCGGTTCAGAGTGTTTATGCTTCGGGTTATTTTCTGTAAACTACTGGTGCGGGTAGGTTTGGCAAAAGTTCCAAAGTCCCAATTGTCCTACGAGTGAGTGAGTGAGTTTAGTTTACGCTGCACTCTGCAATATTCCAGCTATATGGCGGCGGTCTATTAATAATCGATTCTCGACCAGACAATCCAGTGATCAACAGTATGAGCATCGACCTGCGCAATTGGGAACCGATGACATGTGTCAACCAAGCCAGCGAGCCTGACCACCCGATCCCGTTAGTCGCCTCTTACGACAAGCATGGGTTACTGAAGTTACATTCTAACCCGGACCTTCACGGGTACAATGTCGCGACCTGCATGCCCTTCATCTTCCCTCGAAAATGACGCTGAGAGACTGTGACAACTCATATTCCTAGTCCAGGTGGCATTAATCACAACTCATTCACTCACTCTGTATGGAGGGCGATGGGGTAGCCGAGTGGTTAAAGCGTTCGCTCGTCACGCCGAAGATCTGGGTTCGATTCCCCACATGGATACAATGTGTGAAACCCACGATGATATTATGGAATAGTGATAAAAGCGGCGTAAAACTAAACTCACTCACTCTCTTTATGAGATCAAAGTTTCGATGTTACAAGCCACAGATACTATTTCCGTCTGTACACAAGACTACTTCAAGTTCCCTATAGCTAAAATAGTTATCTATGCATGCAATAACAATTTTCTTCCAAAAGTGCTGAGAAAAATTACTTTGACCTGAAAATATCCTTCTTCTAGTGTCTTGCAGAGACCTAAAAAGAAAGAAAACCCAAACAAAACAAAACAGACTCTCCTACTAGAATATGTAATGGACGGTCCCTTACTCTGTACATATGTTTACGTCGGCACGTTGTGTTGTCTCATACAATAATGCTCCATCGTCAATCCCGAAACAACTGTTTTCCAAACAACTGCATGCTTCCAAGACGTCTCGTGATACATGTTTCCATTCGTAACTACTCGTGTCATTCCGGCAAGCCGGATGGCGTCCCGTGCCCCTCTCGTGGCCATGTTTACGACTGGGCCCTGTCTAAGCGCAAACGGGCATGGAGATGAAAATAGTCTAGTACTATTACAAAGGAAAGGTTAGCCTACTCTGAATTTCTAAACATGGCTCATAGAATATTTTACATCCCGTGGGCAAATCAGCAATACAGCCATTCCCTTTGTAAATATGTTTAAGTTTTTAAAGTTTCTGATCCTTTAGCTCAAAGTTTATGTTTAAATTGTCCTTTGCATAGTTTAGCGAAGTTTCAAATTTCAACGTGGCGCCATTTTCATGCTTCTAAATGCGTTTTACTACGCGCAATTTGATTGGTTTGCCACGATTCTTGGCAATAATGGCGTACGATAGGGGTACGAGTCTTCTTGTAGGTTACGGAAAGAGGCGAGTAGTTACGAATGACATGTTTCGGTACATTCGTAACTACTCGTGTCATTCCGGCAAACTGGAGGGTCTTCTTGTAGGTCACGGAAAGAGACGATCGAGTAGTTACGAATGGTTTCGGCAAACAACAGAAGTTCATCATTCGCTGACACAAATATAATAATGCTCCAAAGTCAATCACTAAACAACAACTGTTTTCCAAACAACTGCTTCCAAGACGTCTCGTGATACATGTTTCGGTATATTCGTAGCTACTCGTGTCATTCCGTGTGACCGGAGGGTCTTCTTGTAGGTCACGGGAAGGGACGAGTAGTTACGAATGGTTTCGGCAAACAATCAAAATTCATCATTCGCTGGCACTGAGGTTTTGAATGTGGACTATGGGACAATGCTGTTTGTGGTAGAGAAGGCCCGGCTTGTACTTATAGCCCTTCCCACAGACACACACATAGGATTCCCTGTCGTGTACAGCGGCCTTGTGCACCATCATGGCTCGTCTGGTGGTGAACGTCTTGTCGCAGTTGGGGCAGCTCACTGACGTCGGTTTAGGCCTGCGACAGTGGAGCGAGCCATAGTTGAGTGGATGTGGACTTGTCACCTGCATCAGGTTGAACTGGTTGTAGTCTGTGTGAAACTGCGAAATACGTCCACGCTCTCTTCCAGGATTTCCTAAAAGATCAGAAATGTAAAACGGGTAAATTTCATACAATTTCACAGCAACAATTAGCACAGTAAGATGCCTCATGGATGGCAGTTTCTTTACTACATTATATATGACGCGACTTTTCAGCATTGATACTTAAAACCGTTGTCAAGCTCTCAAGCAAGAGTCATAGGCGGATCCAGAGAGGGTGGGGGTGGTCCTGAGTGTTTATTTAATGACCATTGAAACTCTCGTGAAAAAATGCTGTATCCGCCCCGGAAGAGTGCTTGACAAGACAGAACCGTGAAGGTGTGGGTTACAATATTGATCTTCAGTAACCCATGCTTGTCGTAAGAGGCGACTAACGGGATCGGGTGGTCAGGCTTGCTGACTTGGTTGACACGTCATCGGTTCCCAGTTTCGCAGATCGATGCTCATGCTGTTGATCACTGGATTGTCTGGTCCAGACTCGATTATTTACAGACCGCCGCCATATAGCTGGAATATTGCTTCAGCAGAAGCCATTGGCAACTATAGAATTATGCTGAGATATGACTTGCTGTGAAATATCCATGGTAACAGATGTGTGTGTTTAAGTTTACAAACAGAAACTTAAAACTGAAAAACAACCAGTGAAGAATCAGTGAAAGTCTATTCATAAGAATCCGTTGAAGAGTTGAAAGCGTGCTTTGATAGCACAGCTTGGGACGTATTCGAGCGGGACTCCGATAGTGTTGACGAATTGTGTGAAGTTGTCACCTCTTACATAAACTTTAGCGTGGACTGAATCGTACCAAATAAAACAATCAGGATCTTTCCGAACAACAACAACAACCCATGGGTGACAAAGGAATGGAAAGCCCTACTTAGAGACAAGAAACAATATTCAAAGTGTTATCACCTGTAAATACCTGGACACACATCGTCTCTCATAACACTGTACGGAGTTTCCCGTGCATTTATGTTATATATAGAGAATACTACACGAGGTCTCATTACATACGAATTATACGAAACGAGTGTCCTTCCTATGGTATCTGACCCAGCGAAAGCGAGGTCAGAAACCATAGGAAGGTCAAGAGTTTCGTATAATTCGTAAGTAATGAGTCCGAGTGTGGTATTTTATTTATTACCCACGTCTTACATGCATTAAATTGACAAAATAGCGTATTTTTGTTATTGTTATGGTTTCAAACGAAACCGGTTTCATAAAGAGGTTGCGGAAGAATTTTGTCCTGTAGTCACTTTTGCATGACGTCACAACTGTATTGACGTCACTAAGCCATTCTCGTCTGTCCCCTTGGTCACGATGCATGTCAGATGTCATCGCCTCGTACAGACTTCTACAGTAAACTACTCCGTAGCACCCCGTTTTTTAGTTTGCAGCTGCTTCACTCGGCTAACATCAGTGGTGGAAACATTTCGACGCATATAATGTCTCAGTTGGACTCACAATTAAACAGCGACACGGCAACGTTCGCAATGTTTACATTCCCACAATGCATCTAAGTTGTAGAATGAATGAATTCACGAGTTTGTTATGAATGAACAAGTAGTTCCGTCACAACGTGACCCACACTCCGGCACAGCGATGACTTAACATAACATCACTGCCACAGGCTAATTTGCATATCACGTGACCGGACTTTTCTCTTGTTTGTAAACAAACGCGCATATTCATAATAAGAAGAGACTTGACTCACGAAAGCTTTTCGGCGCTCTCTTCATATTGTTTTACATTGTTACATATATATTCTTCCACAACTGCGACAGTAAGGTCTATGACAGTACATATTTAGATATCAAACTGGCTGCATCGTTTGCTCTCCATCAGCTTCGATGACAGCACGTGGAGCCGTACAACATATTTAAACAAAGAATCGCTACGCAAATCGAAATAGTGTTACATGTTTTTGGATATTTCACATTGTGAAAAAGCTACATGTATTTATGCGCGAGGCTGAAGAACATCTAGACCCACTCCAGGTTGCTTGCCCGTCAGAGAAGAGGCACAGACGACGCCACATGAACCCTCCTGAATCTTATCTATAAACATTAAGAACAAAAATACTCTTTTCTGAATATTCATCATTACCTTCTGGACGCAGGCTGCGTATGCCGACTTTTAGAACAAACAGGTTTCGCCACTCATTTGTTCCAGCTAGTATTAGATGCATTAACAACAAATTCTGTGAATGACTTGTCTTTAATTGTCCAAATTCTATTCAATATCTATGTTTGTGTACTAAATTGATGTATTTATATCCTGATTATTTCATGATTACCAATTGCAATGTTATGTATGGCTGCTTTATGAATGAAAAACTGGAGAACGTATGATGCAAAACAAATTTCCCTTGGGACAATAAAGAATTATCTTATCTATCTTATCTTATCTTAAAATGCATCATGTGTGAGAATTCTGTTCGCTGACTTTTCCTCCTCATTCAATACCATTCTGATCAGATGGATAGACTCTTGAAATTGAAATTGTGATAAAATACAAATATTAAGGCACTGTCATTGATACCTGGACGTCAAGACTACAGCATCTCTTATTCAGGCATATGTAACATCTCGTCTTGACTACTGTAATGCGCTTCTTGTGGGCCTCCCAAATTATCTTATACACAAGCTTCAGAAGGTGCAGAATACTGCAGCCAGAGTGGTCTCTTAGTCAAAGAAATCAGACCATATTACTCCCGTTCTTCACTCACTTCATTGGCTTCCCGTCCACTACCGCATAAAATATATAACTCTACTCCTTGTTTTCAAAAGTTTACATGGTCTAGCACCTCAGTACCGCTGTGCTCTGTTCCACCGTTATACTCCTGTACGTTCCCTCCGATCAAATGACCAGTGTCTTTTGACAATTCCTGTGACTAGGACAAAAAACATATGGTGACAGGTCACTCGAGACGACTGGCCCTCATCTCTGGAACAATCTTCCATCTCACCTCAGAACACAACCAGACTTAGCTGTTTTTAAATCGAATCTGAAGACGTGTCTCTTTGCTGAAGCATTTGAACTCTTAGATCCAGAGCGCCTTTGAGCGGATTACGGATATTGGCGCTATACAAGTATTTGTATGTATGTATGTATGTATGTAATCTTAATTGGAATGACAATGTTGATTACCTGTACAAGAAAGGCCAGCAGAGATTGTATTTCTTACGTGGTTTAAACAACTTTAACATTGATTGTTCTCTGATGGTACTGTTTTACAAAACATTTATACAAAGCACTTAACTTTTTAACCTTCTTTGTTGGTTTGGTAACCTGTCTGTTCAAAATAAAGCTAAACTCAACAAAATTGTTAACCAAGCACGCAAAATCATTGGTACTGAGTCAATAACATCTATCGGCCTACTTTACGAGCAGCAAATTATAACAAGAAACAATTGTGTCCAGGGACACGGATGCCCCCGCTGACATTCATAAGACATATAAAGATCAATAATTGAACAAAATTCACGAACAAGTTCAATAAACATCTATGCAACTATGAGATGCACACCTTTCGAGTCCCAATGAAACACATGTATAAGCTTAATCAATTCTGTTGAGCAGTTTTGTGGAGAAGGGGATAGACTTAATCCCCTATTTCACTATCATCAGAGAGAAATTCAGGAAAATTTTTCTAAGTTCAAAATTCTCTAAACATACAAAAAATATAAAATACGAAAACAAAATATGAGATGCACACCTTTAGAGTCTCTATAAAAGACATGTAAGCTAAATGAGTTTTGTGCATTGGTTTTTGAGGAGAAGTGGATAAAGTACACCCCCTGTTGTATGGGACGAACTGGATGAATAGAGCCAATTCAAGTTCAATCATCTGTAGAAGTGTCAAAATTAATATATTGGATGAACAAGGTATGAGACGCACACCTTTAGAGTCCCAATGAAACACACATAGAAGGCCAATTCTGTTGAGCAGCTTTTGTGGAGAAGTTGATAGACTTCATCCCCTACAACACTATATTCAGAGAGAAATTCAACAAAATATATGCAAGTTTAAACGGCATTAAAATTGGAAAAATAAATAAAATACAAAGTCAAAATATGAGATGAACATGTGTAATCTAAATGAATTCCATACAGTAGTTTTTGAGGAGAAGTGGATAAAGTATACCCCCTGTTGTATGGGACGAACTGGATGAATAGAACAAAATTCAACTAAGTTCAAACATCTGTAAAAGTGACAAAATTAAGAAATTGGATGAACAAGGTATGAGATGCACACCTTTAGAGTTCCAATGAAACACACGTAGAAGCTCAATCAATTCTGTTGATCAGCTTTTGTGGAGAAGTTGATAGACTTCACCCCCTACAACACTATATTCAGAGAGAAATTCAACAAAATTTATCTAAGTTCAAACGGCATTAAAATTGGAAAAATAAATAAAATACAAAATCAAAATATGAGATGCACGTCTTTAGACTCCCTATAAAGCACATGTGTAATCTAAATGAATTCCATAAAGTAGTTTTTGAGGAGAAGTGGATAACGTACACCCCCTGTTGGATGGAACGAACACTGGCTGAATAGAACGAGATTCAACTAAGTTCAAACATCTGTAAAAGTGACAAAATTAAGAAATTGCATAAAAAATTATGAAATGCACACCTTTAGAGTCCCTACGAAAGACATGTAGAAGTTCATTCAATGCTGTTGAGCAGTTTTTGTGGAGAAGTGGATAGACGTAATCCCCTATTACACTATCATCATAGAGAAATTCAGCAAAATGTACCTAAGTTCAAATGTCTCTAAACTTACAAAAAAAACCCAATAAAATAAAAAAAAACTAAATATGAGATGCACACCATTAGAGTCCCAAGAAAGCCCATGTATAAGTTCATTGAATTCCACAGAGCGGTTATGGTGGAGAAGTGGATAGAATACATTCCCTGTTTCGTACGGACGGACGGACGGACGGACACCGAGGGTAACCCTATATGCCCCTGCCATATATGGTGGGGGCATAAAAAGAGTGCGGAAACTTGTAAACGACAGTTCTCACA